GGTTGGGCTGGGCTCTGTGCATCGGGAGGGGGTATAGCTGGTGCCTGTCCTTCCCAGGCCTCTGCTTTCCCTGTGCCCACAAAAGCTGGAAAACCACGCAGAGAAGCGTGCCACACAGGCGGCAACACCACGGGACCCGTGGATGGTGCCATGAAATTCCTGTCATGCATCAGCTGCTAATGAGCTCTGCCAGGCCGAGGCACTACTCTGCAGTGGCAGAGACTGTGTTTGCCCAAAGGCAGGAGCTAGGCTCAGGAATGGCACTTCAATCTGTCCACTGCCTGCACCTTTGGCTTGCACACCCCACACTTTCCAGAGAACTTTCCAGGTAGAGCTACGAACCCAGGAGTGAGGGGAGGCTCCAGAAATGCCAATGGGTCCAGACAGAGCATCCTGAGGTGCCTCCCCGGGGCTTCCCCAGAGCCACGAGAAGTCTGTGTTTTTCACATGCTTCCATCATCTTGGCCTGCGACCTGGGAGCAGAGCCCTGTCTACCTGGGAAACATGTCATGGAGAGGGGAATGCCAGCCACTGTCACACCCCCGCCATTTCCAGCTGGCAGTCCAGGCCACACTGGCAATAGCAGGCAGGGAGGGGAAGCTCTCACCCTCTGGTTTCACTTTCTAGTGTCCACGGACTTGTCTGACAGGTTTAGGTTAAAGACCTGGAGAGTAAATGTTCTCATACAAAAGAAAAGAAATTCAAAAATTTGCCCATTCTCAGCCCCCTCCAAAGAACAGGATTCAGAATAAAGATGATGATGATGAAGATGGCTAAATTTACTGAGGGGTTACACATACTCAGCATCGTCTTCAGCATTTTGGTGCAGATAAACTCATTTACTCATCACAGTACCTCCACGTTGAAGATACCACTGTTACTCCCATTTTAGAGATGAGGAAACTGGGCCTCAGCAATGCTGGGTGACTTGTCTAAGTTCAACCAGCTGAAAAGCAGCAGAGCCTGCCTGAGTCCAGCCTATCTGGCTCCAGAGCCTCTGCTTACCACACCCAGGGCTCCAAGACCCAGAACTTGGCCTCCTGGATGCAGGACAGATAACGCTCTAATCCCATTATCCTCCATCGACCAACCCTATACCCAAAACACCCACACCCCAAACTCTGTCTCAAAATAACCTTCACAGGAGTAGGTGGGACCCAACAGGTAAGAGCTGGGGTGGTGCCCAATGAGGCGTCCCTCCCAGAAGAAAAACACAGGAGAGTGGATGGACAGGAAACCCCGCATTTTTCATTCCCAGCAGCAAGGGCTGGGGGATCTCCGGAAGCCTTCTGTTTGGGAGATGGTCAACAGGGAAGCAGCCTGGGTAACTTTTCCATAAGCCAGTTTTCATCAGCATAAGAATAGCCCTGCTCCAGGGCAGCTGAGGCTGAGGCCCTTTGCTAGAAAATATTCTGCTTCCCCAGCCCAGCTGCTCCAGGTGGGAACCACAGACAGCCCCGGACACGGACAGGTCGAATGGCCGCTCCAGAGCAGGCGGTACACAACTGCTAAGTCCACACAGGATTCGGTCTCTGCCCTCACAGGACTCACTCCTCTCTGCTCCTTCGCCAACTGGCACACACCGGGCCTGGCTCTCAGGCCAACTCCTTCGTAGGCTTCAAACCCACTGAGATTAACCAGACCGGCTCTCCGACAGTAGCCCGGCCCACTCCTTCAAGAAGCAGCTTCTCATGCCGGTCTTCCCTAGGGAAGATGGGCACGGAAAGGTGGCAGCAGTTGCCCGACTGTGGGAAAGAATAAACAGAAAGATGCTGCAGACCTGGGTAGCCTAAAGATGGGCGGGAGCCATGGAAGGGGTGGCCATCAGGCTGGTTTCCGGTTCAGAGGACGTCTGACTTGGCCACCACCTCTCTGTTCCCGCCACTGTGCCATCCTGGACCACGCTGCCATCAATGCTTACCTGTGGTCACTGCAGCAGCATCCTAAGAGGTCCCCACAATCATCTGGCCAGCCTCTTCATGCCCACCCCCAGCTGTGCCCTCCGCTTCCACCACAGGGCAGGCTGCTCTTGGCTCCTCAAAAGGGCTGCACTCTACTCTGAAGACCTGTGTGCCGTACTGTCTGTACATCATGCCTGATTAAAAGCTACAATCGTGGCTCCTGCCTGTAAACCCAGCACTTTGGGAGGCCGAGGCAGGCAGATCATTTGAGGTCAGGAGTTCGAGACCAGCCTGACCAACATGGTAAAACCTGTCTCTACTAAAAATACAAAAAAATTAGCCGAGTGTGGTGGTGCATGCCTGTAGTCCCAGCTACTCGGGAGGCTAAGGCAGGAGAATTGCTTGAACCCAGGAGGCAGAGGTTGCAGTGAGCTGAGATCATGCCACCACACTCCAGCCTGGGTGACAGAGCGAGATTCTGTCACAAATAAACAAACAAACAAAAAACTACAACAGACCAGCACAGTATATCACATGCATGTAATCCCAGCACTTTGGAAGTCCAAATGAGGTAGGATCCTTGAGCTCTGGAATTTGAGACCAGCCTGGGCAACATGGGGAGACCCTGTCCCTACAAACATAAAAAAAAATGAGCCAGGCATGGTAGCACATACCTGTGGTCCCAGCTAACTCCTGTGGAGGTTGAGGCAGGAGGACTGCCTAGGCCATGACAGTGCCACTGCACTCTAGCCTGAGTGACAGAGCAAGACCCTGTCTCAAAAAAAAAAAAAAAAAAAAGACAATAAAGCCATGGATACAAGAATCTCATTAGAAAAACTTGGCAAAGAGTATATATAAGTTTTCTCCCAGCGGGGCATGGTGGCACACAACTGTAATCCCAGCTACTCGGAAGGGTGAGGCAGGAGAATCGCTTGAACCTGGGAGACAGAGGTTGCAGTGAGCTGAGATCACCACTGCACTCTAGCCTGGGCTATGGAGTGAGACCCTGTCTCAAAAAAAAAAAAAAAAAATTATCCAACTGGGGCTGGCAGTTAATTGAAAGAGCTGGTCAAAGCAACTTTCGTTAAAGAGCACCTAAGTTCTCTAAACATCTATTACTTTTTTACATATCTCACATTAAATGGAAATATACACACACCTATTCCCTGGCTGGTCTTCCTGGCCTTTTCTCTGAGTGTGGGCTTGCCAACCAGAGTTCCTGTATTGTTATTTTCTAGTTTTGGTTTCTTTAAAGCAGAACAAAAACTTAAAGTCATAGGAACTTAAAGGCAAAGGAATCTGGGTGTGAAAGCCTTCTGGGTTTTTACAAAATGTCCCTCATGTTTAGTTATCGTGTCTGCACCTTTTTCAACAGGAACATTATCTGAGTGATTCCAAAGTCATCCCAAAGTGGTCAACAGGTATTTCTTTTTTTTTTTTTTTTTTCTTTTTTTGAGACGGAGTCTCGCTCTGTCGCCCAGGCTGGAGTGCAGTGGCCGGATCTCAGCTCACTGCAAGCTCCGCCTTCCAGGTTTACGCCATTCTCCTGCCTCAGCCTCCCGAGTAGCTGGGACTACAGGCGCCCGCCACCTCGCCCGGCTAGTTTTTTGTATTTTTTTTAGTAGAGATGGGGTTTCACCGTGTTAGCCAGGATGGTCTCGATCTCCTGACCTCGTGATCCGCCCGTCTCGGCCTCCCAAAGTGCTGGGATTACAGGCTTGAGCCACCGCGCCCGGCCTCAACAGGTATTTCTAGAAACAATTTGTTTCTCCACTCGCTCTGAGGTGCTTTAGAGCTCAGACTGTGTGCTGCTGGATTCAAACTCCAACTCAGTTACTTACTAGCTGATGACCTTAGCTAAGTTATTTAACCTCTCTGTGCCCGTTCCCCACATGTAAAATTGGGGTTTCAGCTGTTATTGTTGCTTCATTGGTTCCCGGGATGTTAAATTCAATTATGTAATTACAAGTACAACTGCCATGAACAGGTTTGGGAACCAACACCTGACTCTTGATAAGCATCTGACTTAACTGACCGAGCTGCACACACAGGGTGAGCTAGAGACTGGCCCACTGCTGTGAGCATTCAGCATGCCAAGGGCCTTAGTCAGTAAGTTTCACACAAGGAAACGGAAAACATCAGGTAACCTGGGTCAGCGACGCCAATGATAGTTAAGAACGACTGTTCTAAATCTGCCACCATCTGTCATCCAACCCTGGCCACACCTGGGGAGAATCACCTGGGGATGTGTAAACAATATGATGTCCTGGCACCCCCAGAGACTGATGTAAGTGGTACCAGGTGGGGCCTGGGCATTTCCAAAAGCTCCCAGATCTTTACCAGCTTTGATAAGCACCCGAGGGCTAGAAGGGAAGCGCTTGGAGGGCACGGCCCGCCTCTCTGATCTCCCAACTGGACACACAGTGCCTGTTTCCTGGCCACAGTGGGCCCTCACATCCTAGCTTTTAAAGGAGTAAATGGTGGCCATTAGGTTTCAAGCACCAGGGCACAGGCTTCATTCCCTCTTCCCAGCTTCCCTATTGTGCCAGTGGGCAGAAACCAACCACACAATGTTGCTTAGGCTGTGCCCGAGGGGCAGACAAAGGCACCAATGGGAAGCCTCAGCGGGGAGCAACCCTTCCCCCAGAAACAGTTCCAGGAGGCACCAGGTGCCACCCAGGGCTGCAGTTAATCATTCACCCCACAACACAGGAAGTAAGCCCTACGCCAGTCCCAGCCCCAGGGCTTCCCGAGCTCAGGGCAAGTCCGCAGTCCACACATCATCCAGACAGAGGACAGCCCAGCCCAGCCACAGGTGAGGTGGCCCGATGGCCTGGGGCAAAGGCCCTCGGTCCAGTCTCTTCCCCGTCCACCCCAAGTCTGACTTCTCTCAGGAGGGACTCATGAACACGTGCACTGAGCACCCCCAAAATGACATCACACAAGGGCAGAAAGGAGCCAAAGGGGGAACGTGAAAGGCAGAAAGGGAGCTGTGGTTGCCAGGCAACCAGTCCTAGCCCACCTTTGTTTGCTTTGGTGACAGCAACGAAGGTCTGGTCAGGGCCGCTTGGCCACGCTCACGCCTTTTCCTCTCAACAGTTGCTTCTTTGAGTCAGGGTGCAGCTCTGGTCACCTGACGGCCTCTTCAGCTCAGCCTCCCGCAAAGTGTGAGCCTGAAGGACCACCCTGAATTGCCCTTGTGGGACCCAGAACAGCTACCAGCAGAATCGGGTAATGGCTCCCTCCTCCTTCACCCGGGCTGCCCTCACCTGGCTATGGGCTTGCAGTCTGTGATAAGGAGCTCCACTTCTAGAAGACTGGTAAGTTCTGTTCTCAGCTGCTCCAAGGAGCCCACCAAGGCCTCAGCTAGAGTTGGCCACTCCTTGGCTCCTATACACTCTCTCGAATGCCTCCCAAATGTTTGGCAGTTGGTGCAGGAAAAACAGTGAGGCTCTATCGTGATGCTTTTTACATTTTAGCCAAGTAGGTTTCAGGGATGAGAGAGAGTCCTTGCTCACACTTGCTACTCAGGAAAGAAGGACTGGAGAATCCAGGGGCAGGCCCCAGGAAAAATCCAGGGCCCCACTCCTTGCGCCAGTCCTGGCTCCTGTATCTAGAGCAGGGGAAATGCCATTTGCTGCTGGCTGCAGGCATCGAGCACAGACTCCAGCCCTTTCATGTCCCCTGGCCGCCAGGCGGGCTGGCTGCTCACAGAAGCTGCTACAGAGGCTGGAGTCAGCGGGCAGAGCATAGCGCCTGGGACAGGGCCTGGGAGGGCTGCCTGCGCTCAGGTCCTCTGTCCCTCTTTTCCAGATTCTCATGGACCAACTGGTATTCAAAGAGACAATCTGGAATGATGTGTTCTGGCAGAACCCCTGGGACCAGGGGGGCCTGGCAGTGATTATCTTATTCATCACCGCTATCCTGCTTCTCATCTTATTTGCCATCGTGTTTGGTTTACTCACTTCCACAGAAAACACTCAGCGTGAAGAGGGTGAAGAGGAGTGACCTGACTTCCTGGGGACTGAGACGGCAGCAGGGGAGGCAAGCTGACCTGCCCCATTCTGGTGGTGGGCCCCTCCGCGGTCCCCTCTGGCTCAGGGGCCAGGCCCTGGTGTCTTCCTTTCCCACCAGGAAAGAGTCTAGTAAAATATTCCATCTGGCTTAGGGTTGGTCAGACTAGTAAGATGGGGAGGCTGGTCTGAGACCAATTCTGGTGACTTGATCCTATTGGTTTTCGGGTTCCCTGACCAGAACACTAAAAGCACATGGAGAGGACGGCTCCACTGCCTCAGGTGGAAGGAGCGATGGCTAACAAGGTTTTCTAACAGGCCCACAGGCCCAGCCAGCAATTTCACAAATCCTTGACAGAGAAAGACACAACCCAATGAAGTAAAAATTCCTTTACAAATCTGCTAACTTGTGAGAGCTCATTTTTAATCCAGATAGAGCCACCAGAGCAAGCTTCCCGAACAAAGCCTCACCAGGGCCCGCACAGTCTGGCCTTGTCTCCAGCCATCTCGCCCACCCCACCCCACCCTGCCCCTGGGTTCTCAGCGTGTCTTTTGGTTCTTGAATATGCCGTGTTCTCTCCCACCACAAGGCTTTTGCGCATGCTATTCTCATTGACTGGGATGCTCTCCCTCACACCACACTTGACTCCATGGCCTAGTTAGTCCTTCCTCATCCTTCATATCTCAGTTTGAACCTGACTCCCTCAGGTAAATCTTCCCTAACCCTCGAGGATTAGGGTAAGGCCACCTGTTTTATACTCTCGAAACACCATTTACAGGACTTATATGTCTTTTTTGTTTGTCTCGCTCTGTCGCCCAGGGTGGAGTGTAGTGGCATGATCTTGGCTCACTGCAAGCTCCGCCTCTCGGGTTCATGCCATTCTCCTGCCACAGCCTCCCAAGTAGCTGGGACTACAGGTGCCCACCACCATGCCCGGCTAATTTTTTTCATATTTTTAGTAGAGATGGGGTTTCACCGTGTTAGCCAGGATGGTGTCAATCTCCTGACCTCGTGATCCGCCCGCCTCGGCCTCCCAAATGTTGGGATTCCAGGCGGTAGCCACCGAGCCCGGCCTTTTTTTTTTTTTTTTGGAGATGGGGTCTCACTCCCGTCGCCCAGGCTGGAGTGCAGTGGCACAATCTCGGCTCACTGCACGTTAGACTTCTGAGTTCACGTGATCCTCCCATCTCAGCCTCCTGAGCAGCTGGGACTACAGGCGTGTGCCACCCATGCCTGGCTAATTGTGTTTTTTTGTATTTTTAGTAGAGACAGGGTCTCGCCATGTTGCCCAGGCTGGTCTTGAACTCCCAGGCTCAAGCGATCCTCCTGCTTCAGCCTCCCAAAGTGCTGGTATAACAGGTGTGAGCCACCATGGCCAGCTCTGGGACTTACATGTCTCTGCTGTGACTATCTGCAGTGCTCTCTTCCCCACTGGACCAAGCACCATAAAGCAGGGGACGGGGCTATTTCTGCCCACCAGTGTATCCCCCAAGTCCAATGTGCCTGGCACAGAGCTGGCATCAGTCAATATTTGTCGGCTGAATAAATGACTGAATGAGTAAACACACAGATAAACAAGAAGATGCCGGGCTGTTGGGCACCCCCAGCCCCAAGATCCCAGGAGACAACAGGGCCCAATTCAATCCAGGTCTAAACACAAGGCTGCTCTTCCATCTCAAAATGCCGAGGCCTCAAGCTGGAGGTTGCTTCAAACCTAATAACAGTTCCCTATGACACTAAAAGACACTCATAGTCATGAATAATCAAACACTACTTTTTCAAGGTTATAGCCCAGAGAAAGTAGCTACAGATAGAGAAGAGAGGAAAACTGCTGACTGCCACAGCTCCGCCTCATTAGTTAACTGACCTGAGTATCTTTTTTGCTGGTCCCACTCCCATGCGCCTCAGACCCCACAACAAACCGACCGGAAACCTACAGCTTCCTTTGCAGAAATGTACCCACTTCTGCTGAGCCCACCCCACTGGCTCTGTCCCTCGCTGCCAGGTGCCTACCCCAAGGGAACGCTGGTGGGAGGCTGCTTCGACCTCAGCCTCCAACGAGAACTATTCTTAGGGAGCAAATATCTGGTGGAGAAGGGGCTTTTTCTTTGTGCTACACACCAGTTACAAAATAAACAAACATTCACTTATTCAAAGAACAGTAGCCAATACAGACATACCAGCAGTGTTTATTCCAGCCTGCCGCCTGGATTTCAGAATCATCACATGTAGCAAAGGAGACACGTACAAGGCTGCACAAGAGGCAGCACAATGCTGTCACCTGGACTCCTTGGGTCCAGAGATGCCTAGACCCCAGCCCCTGGCAACCAGGCCACTGATGCACTAAGAAGTCCCAGCTCCCCGGAAGGTGACAGGAGAAACAAAGGCAGAAGCCCTTGGGAGGACCTGTTCCCTTGCCTGGCAGACTGAGCAGACCCTGGGGACGGGCAGAGTTAACCCTCCAGAGAGCATTCCAGAGCCTCGGACAGCCCCGGAGCTTTTTTCAGCAAAAAGGACTCACAATGAACAGGAACACTTGGCCCTTTCATTCCTCACCAGAAATGGAAGCTCTACTCAAGAAGCCTAAGGCGGCCAAATTTAGCAACTCCCGTATTAATTGTGCTTGAAAAGGGCTCTGGTCGCAATGGCTGCAGGCAAGGGTGGTCCTGGCACTGCAGCCACCACTTCTGCTGGGCGTGGTCTTGCCACAGAGGCCAAATTAGAGACGGCAGTTTGCAGAAGAAAATAGCTTCAGTCCAGAAGCCACCGACTCACGGGTGAACAGGAGGAGGTGGAAATAAAAACACACAGACCAAAGAAGAGCTTCTCTGATTTCCTTGGTTTTTTCTTGCAAAAACCAAGATGGCCTAGGTGTATGAAAATGAGCATGCCGCTGAAAATCAGGAGCCGGGTGTTTAGTGGCCTCAGTCTACCACGAGCTGCGTGACTGTGACCTCTCTGGACCTCGATTTATTCACCTCTAAGTCTGAAGCAATCACGTCAGCGTCATCCTCCGACAGGATCATTCCATGAGATGAGAGGAATCCAAGAATTTTTTCGATCAAAATGTAAAGACTCCTCCTGGCTGTCTCTCACCCAGGCACTCATAGCTCCGCATGCCTGGACATGACCTGACTACACTGAGCAGCCCTTGGGCTCTTCCTGTGGCCCCTGCCCCATCGCCTGCAGATGCAGCTAAAACAGATGTGTGGGTTCAAAGCACATGACTCCCCGAGGTAAGCGGGGCCACAGGCTTCTGTGTGGGTCCTGGATAAGGGTGAGAACTACTCAAGTGATGCCAGAAGTCCCAGCTCGGTGGCACATGATGACCACAAAGCCGACAGCTCAGAGCTGGTCACATCCCTTGGAACTGAGTGGCCTGTGAGGCCAGCCATTCCAGAAGAGGGTGGAGTGGAGGGAAGGATACCACTCAGAAGACTGAGCAAATCCCCACACTGCCAGAGATCCTGGGGACTCCAATAGAGAAGAGCAAGGTCCTGACTTCCACGCTGCCCAACACAACAGCCTTTGCAGGCAGGGGTCCCTTGGTAGCCTACGGGCTGTCTTATGTCAGCTGCTTAACTAGCGGGGCCAGGGGAGTAAATGATCTCACTGACACTTTGCTCCACACACAAAATAAGTCACTTACCCCAGTTCTTCACAGAAGGTCACCAGGGCATCAAAGGCCAGGATAGTGGCTTTATCAGATGCTTTGTTCCCTCTCTTTTCCTGTGGACAAAAAAATGACACCTTAGCAAATCTTACAGAATTGGACTACCTTAGAGGCACAAAAAGTAATGAGGAGGCCAAGCACGGTGGCTCACAGCTGTAATCCCAGCACTTTGGGAGGCTGAGGCAGGAGGATCATTTGAGACCAGGAGTTCGACACCAGCCTGACCGACAAGGTGAAACCCCATCTCTACTAAAAATACAAAAAAATTAGCCAGGTGTGGCTGTGGGTGCCTGTAGTCCCAGCTACTTGGGAGGCTGAGGCAGGAGCATTGCTTGAACCCAGGAGGTGGAGGTTTCAGCAAGCTGAGATCATGCCACTGCACTCTGTCTCAAAAAAAAAAAGTAACAAGGGAGAAAAATATTAAATGACAGTAATAAAGCCATTTACAAAAGTGTCCCCAAACCTGACTATTTATCATAACCCCCAGAATACTGAACTGAATTTTCTGGGATGAGCTTTTGAGAGTTTCCCAAAAGCTTCTCAGGAGGTTCTCATGCAAAGGGCCCACAGACTGGCATTTAGGAAGCACTATATAACATCACCTATTTTAATAATAGTAAACACATGCATAAAGGTTGTAAACTTAACATATATGAAATATATACTTCTGTGTATATTGGAGGGAGATATATTAATGTTAAGTGATTCTTTTTGACAACCTTAAAACATGAATTTAAAATACAATTTAAAACCTGTAATCCCAGCTGGGCGCGGTGGCTCACGCCTGTAATCCCAGCACTTTGGGAGGCCAAGATGGATGGATCACGAGGTCAGGAGATTGAGACCATCCTGGCTAACACGGTGAAACCCAGTCTCTACTAAAAATACAAAAAAATTAGCTGGGCACAGTGGTGGGGGCCTGTGGTCCCAGCTAATCAGGAGGCTGAGGCAGGAGAATGGCGTGAATCTGGGAGGCGGAGCTTGCAGTGAGCCAAGATCACGCCACTGCACTCCAGTCTGGGCAACAGAGGGAGACTCTGTCTCAAAAAAAAAAAAAAAAAAAAAAAAAAAAAAAAAAAAAAAAAAACCAAGAACAAAACAAAACAAAAACCTGTAATCTCAGCACTTTGGGAGACTGAGGTGGGCGGATCACCTGGGGTCAAGAGTTCAAGACCAGCCTGGCCAACATGGTGAAACTCCATCTCTACTAAAAATACAAAAATTAGCCAGGCATGGTGGCACACACCTGTGATCCCAGGTACTCAGGAGGCTGAGGCAGGAGAATCACTTGAACCCGGGAGGAGGAGGTTGCAGGGAGCTGAGATTGCAGTACTGCACTCCAACCTGGGCAACAGAGCCAGACTCCGTCTCAAATAAAATAATAAAGTAAAGTAAAATAAAATAATGCTTGACCTGCCGACTCGGAAACCCATGTGGGGTGGGGGTGGGCAGTCAACTACATCAGGAGAGCAAGATTCCCAAGCCCTTCTGTTGGCACCCAAGGGGCCAGTGTGTACCCCTTGGATCACACAATCAGAAAACAGGAGGACCGAAAAGGTTTCCTGAGTCTCTACTTACCAGGGAGGCTGGGTGCAGCCCTGCCAGCCCATCCCTGAGCACAGCATCCCAGATGGGGCAGAGCGGGATGTGGCTGGGCAGGGCAGGTGGGCTCTGGAAGGTGCTAATGGTAGCAGATAGGGTGTTGCCACCTGCCTGCAGGTAAGGAGCACCCTGAATGAGTGGGCTGAGCCAGGCTGGCCACCAGGCCTGGACCCACAGCTCCTTTGGCTATGGAATAATATCAGAGGAGTGGCTTATGGGGAGTGGATAGCAGGAAGCTCTGAGGCCTGGCTCCTAGGCACAGGATAAAGCTGGGGGAAGGAGATGGTACTGTGAAGGCAGATAAAGGGACAAGAGCCTCAGGTTTCTGTCCCCCACCCCATGTCCCTGGGGCTTTCTAAGCCAAAGCCTGCAACTAACGTAAAAGGAAGAAAAAGCACTTAAGTTACCATCCACTACCAAACTCCCCCAAAGCCCCTCTCACAAAATCCAAATCATTTTCTCATCTCCACTCCTGCCTCCCCCAATACAATAGAGTTTCCTGTTTTCTTTTTAAAACGTTGCCTACCACCTCCCCACCTGGGAAACCCAAGGCATGACTGCTGGTGGCTGGTGACAGGCACACAGCGGGCAAAGCCCCACCTCTGGTGGTGGGACGGAAGGAGGTAGGGGCACCAGTCCCTGCCACATCCTCAATCCGCACTCATCAGCCAGCCTTCCCTTTGGCTCCCACTAGCGGGGAGTAGGGCAATAGCAGGCGGTCCCCACAGCTAAGCAACAGCTCCTGGCCTTCCCACCAGGAAGACCTCTGCACCCTTACCCAATTGAAAAGACAGTCTCACCTTGGGCCAGGAACCACTATTAGGTGAGGAATGGGCACTATACATTTCAAGTGTGGACACTTGGTCAGGGCAGTAGAACTCTAAAGATGGCAGCCAACTTCCTTCCTTACCCACTCCTGGAGGTAATTCCCCTCTTAGTGACCGAAGCTCTGGTGCAGCTCTGCTCAGAGACTGTTCCTGGCTTCACTCTGTTACAAGCTTGTCTATGGACTTGTGGCCGAATCAACTAGCAGAACAGTGAGCATCTGTGAGTGATGTGATTATGTATCAGTGGCCTTTTTTGTGTACATATCTATTTGCCAACATATCCTTTTAAAATACTGTGAATTATTTAATACAGAAAAGGAAAAAAAAAAAGCCCAGGCATGGTGGTTCATGCCTGTAATCCCAGCACTTTGGGAGGCTGAGGTAGGTGGATTACTTGAGGTCAGGAGTTTGAGACCAGCCTGGCCAACATGGTGAAACCTGTCTCTGCTAAAAAATACAAAAATTAGCAAGGCGTGGTGGCGAGTCCCTGTAATCCCAGCTACTTCAGGGACTGAGGCATGAGAATTGCTTGAACCTGGGAGGTGGAGGATGCAATGAGCCGAGACTGCGCCACAGCACTCCAGCCTGGATGACAGAGGCTCTGTCTCAAAAAAAAAAAAAAACCATAAAAACAAAAACCAGACACTGATATCTGAGACATCATCTATTGAGTGTATGCTTTGGGCAGGTAACTCATCCCCACCAATACACACAAACGCACACAGATTCCGTACCCCCAACTTCCCAATATGTTTACAACACAATTTCTTATTAAGTCCATATTTTCCTTATTATGATTATGTCAACAGAGTTCACAGCTAAAACGAGTGATTGCATTTTTATATTCGCCGTGATCACATTTCCTTTCTTGTGTAACTGTGTTTCCCCTGAAACAGCTTTGTTTTTCTCCATTTACTTAGATTTCAGTATGTCATTAATTCACCTCTAACTGTCCTAACATAATGAACAATTCATTTCGATAGGAGCCAGAGATGCCAGCTTCCACTCTGATTTTTGGAACCTACCTTCCTGGAGTCTTCTGCCCCCTAGTGCAATCTGGACCAGTTTTCCCTAGGCCTAGGACACAGCTATCTTTCCGGACTACCCTCCAATATCGTCCTGCACCAAGACTTACTCCTGGGTGAGTCTCCATCTTTGCTTTCTAGGTTTACTGCCTCTCTACAATGGAGAACATCCTTTAATAGCTTCTGAGACATGATATACCAGGGGAAAGTTTTTGAAACCTTTGTATCTGAAGATGTCTTTTTCTTTCTTTCAAGTTTCCACATACAGCATTTTGAATTTTGATTGATTGATTGATTGATCGGAGATAGGGTCTTGCTGCCCAGTCTGGAGTGCAGTGGCATGATCATAACTCACTGCAGCGTTGAATTCCTAGGCTCAAGCAATCCTCCTGGCTCAGCGTCCTGAGTAGCTAGAACTACAGGTACACATCACCATGCTCAGCTATTTTTTTATTATTGTTATTATTTTTTGAAACAGGGTCTCACTCTGTTACCCAGGTTGGAGTGCAATGGTATGATCTCAGCTCACTGCAGTCTTGACCTCCTGGACTCAAGTGATCCTCAAACCTCAGCCTCTTGCATAGCTGGAACTACAGGTGCACACCAACACACCCAGCTAATTTTTAAATATTTTGTAGAGATGAAGTCTTATTATATTGCCCAAGCTACTCAAACTCGTGGTCTCAAGAGATCCTCCCATGTCATTCTCCTGAAGTGTTGGGATTACAGGCATGAGCCACCTCACCCAGCCTAAACTTGAGCATGTTTAAACATGTCATTTGATAAATTTTTCTGGGAACTTTCTTTTCATATTATTTGCTTTTCATATCCTTTGTTCAAGCGATTCTCCTACCTCAGCCTCCTGAGTAGCTGCAATTACAGGCGCCCATCACCACACCTGGCTAATTTTTATATTTTTAGTAGAGTCGGGGTTTCTCCATGTTGGCCAGGCTGATCTGGAACTACTGGCCTCAAGTGATCCGTCCACCTTGGCCTCCCAAAGTGCTGAGATTACAAGCGTAAGCTCCCATGCCCAGCCTTTTTTTTTTGAGATGGGGTCTCACTTTGTCATCCAGGCTGGAGTGCAGTGGTGAGATCTTGGCTTACTGCAACCTCAACCTCCTAGGTTCAAGTGATTCTCCCACCTCAGCCTCCCCAGTAGCTGGGACTACAGGTGTGCGCCACCATGCTTGGCTAATTTTTGTATTTTTTGGTAGAGACAGGGGCTTCACTATGTTGGGCAGGATAGTCTTGAACTCCTAACCTCAGGTGATCTGCCTGTGTTGGCCTCCCACAGTGCTGGGATTACAGGCATGAGCCACCGCTCCTGACCCTAGAGCTTGTTTTCTCTTGATGAGATTTTAGTTTTCTTCATCTAAATCAGTGGTTGTCAACGTTGACATGGCCATATATTTAAAGCAACTGGGGAGCTTTTTCTTTTGTTTTTTTTTTGAGACCAAGTTTCGCTCTTGTTGCCCACGCTGGAGCGCAATGGCGCGATCTCGGCTCACTGCAACCTCTGCCTCGTGGGTTCAAGTGATTCTCCTGCTTCAGCCTCTCCCGAGTAGCTGGGATTACAGGCATGCGCCACCACACCCAGCTAATTGTGCATTTTTTTAGTAGAGACAGGGTTTCTCCATGTTGGTCAGTCTGGTCTCAAACTCCTGACTTCAGGTGATCCGCCCATCTCGGCCTTCCAAAGTGCTGAGATTACAGGTGCGAGCCACCGCACCCAGCCTACTAGGGAGCTTTTTGAAAAAACTCTTGTTAACAGCTTGTAACACTTATTCCTAGGTATTTTATAAGTTTTATTGTTGTAAATTAAGTTTTTTGTTTGTTTGTTTCTATTTCTAGGTATTTCTGGTACAGTGGAGAAAAGCTACTGTTTTTTTTTTTTCCCTTGGCTCTCATCTGACTAGAGAAAAGCTACTAATCTTTAAACTATTTCTCTTATATTCAGCCAGTTTGCCAGGTTTTCTTATGAATTTGAGTAGATTTCTAGTAGGGTCTTTGTGTGTCTAGGCACAATGTGTTATCATTTCTACCTGCTGTTGTCTTCTCTCCTACTTTCGTTATCCTTGTGAATTTATATATATTTGTCCCTTTATTGTCATTTTTGCAGAGATTAGAAACAAGTACTTGGAGGCTGGACAAGGTGGCTCACGCCTGTAATCCCAACACTTTGGGAGGCCGAGACAGGCAGATCATGAGGTCAGGAGATCAAGACCATCCTCGCTAACACGGTGAAACCCCATCTCCACTAAAAATACAAAAAAAATTAGCCGGGCGTAGTGGTGGGTGCCTGTAGTCCCAGCTACTCAGGAGGCTGAGGCAGGAGAACGGTGTGAACCTGGGAGACGGAGCTTGCAGTGAGCCAAGATCGTGCCACTGCACTCCAGCCGGGGTGACTAAGCGAGACTCCATCTTAAAAAAAAAGAAAAAAAAAAAAAGAAACCCCATATCTGCAAAAAATTGAAAAAAAAAAAATTAGCTGGGCATGGTGGCACACACCTGTGGTCCCAGCTACTCAAGGTGGGAAGATTATTTATGGCCAGGAGTTAGAGGCTGCTGTGAACCATGACTATGCCACTGCACTTTAGCCTGGGTGACAGTGAGACCTTGTCTCTTAAAAAAAACAAACAGAAAAAAAAAAAACAAAAAAAGGCTGGGTGCAATGGTTCATGCTTGTAATCCCAGCACTTTGGGAGACCAAGGCAGGTGGATCACGAGGTCAAGAGATTGAGACCATCCTGGCCAACATGGTGAAACTCTGTCTCTACTAAAAATACAATAATTAGCTGGGCGTGGTGGTGCATGCCTGTAGTCCCAGCTACTCAGGAGGCTAAGGCAGGAGAATCGCTTGAACCCGGGAGACAGAGGTTGCAGTGAGTCGAGATCGTGCCATCGCACTCCAGCCTGAGTGACAGAGTGAGACTCTGTCTCAAACCAACAAAAAGAAAAAACAAAAACAAAAAAATCCAGTATTAAGATAATTTAAATATTTATAAAGGAAAAAGTCTAGCCTAGTTTGTGTAAGCTGCCTCCCTACCCAACATGCCATTTCCCCTTGCTATACTTACAGGTTGGGAGCAGCCTTCTCTAGCTTATACAAGCATCATCTGAGTTCAGAAATCAGCTTCACAAAACTAGAGAGTGGTGGGTCAGACTGAAAGACCTTCTACTACCCAGGCCTTACCTGGAGTTTTGCTACTTCCTTCCTGATCAGGAAGCTGACTTGGTCCCGGTCATTCCTTGAGTAATAGAGACGGCACCAGGAAGGCTTCCCATCCCTGCCAGCCCGGCCAGACTCCTGGTAGTATCCAGCCATAGACTTGGCAATATTCCAATGAATGACAAACCTGTAGGATCCAAAGGGACAAGGAGCATGAGATGGTGGAGAAACTGAGTGTCCTTTGGAGGAATAATCATGAGTAGGAGAGCAGGGAGGCCAGCAGATAGGGAGGGAGAGGGATAGTCCCAGAGTTAGAATGGTTAAGACACTGGCAGCCCATCTCCCTTCTAGGAGCAGCCCAGGTAAGAGGCCACAGCAGGAGTTAAGGGGGGCAATCAGCACATATGAGGGACCAAAAAACTCAGCCAGAACCCAGTGGAAAAAATACTGGACCTAAAGAAACAACATGAGGCTCTGCCACTTATGAGCACTGCAAATTTGAATAAGTTATTTATAACTTCTTTGAAGTGGGAAAGGAATAATATTTATGAAATACCTACAATGAGTCAGTTTATATATGTCTCATTTAATTGTTAGTCACCATCATGTGAGGTAGCCCATTCTCCAGAATATGAACTGGAGATTCAGAAAGGTAAATTTGTACAAGGCCACACAGTAAAAGGACAGCAGAGCTAAAATTTGGGCCTAGGGGTGTCTGCCTTCAAAACTAGCTCTTAACAAGACACCACAGACCCAGGATTCATTTTATTTGTTTTGTTTTTTGTTTATTTTATTTTATTTTATTTTATTTTTAGATGGAGTCTTGCTCTGTCGCCAGGCTGGAGTACAGTGGTGTGATCTCAGCTCACTGCAACCTCCGCCTTCTGGGTTCAAGTGATTCTCCTGCCTCAGCCTCCTGAGTTGCTGGGACTACAGGTGTGCACCACCACACCCAGCTAATTTTTGTGTTTTTAGTAGAGACGGGGTTTCACCATGTTGGCCAGGATGGTCTCAATCTGTTGACCTCGTGATCCACCTGCCTCAGCCTCCCAAAGTGCTGGGATTACAGGCATAAGCCACCGTGCCCGGCCTTGTTTTTTTATTAAGACAGGGTCTTGCTCTGTTGCATAGGCTGGAGTACAGTGGCACAATCATAGCTCATTGCAGCCTCAGCCCCCTTGCCTCAAGCAATCCTTCCACCTCAGCTTCCCAATTAGCCAGGACTACAGGCACATGCCAAGATACCTGGCTAATTTTTAACTTTATAGAGATGGAGTCTTGCTATGTTGCCCAGGCTGGTCTCGAACTCCTGGGCTCAAGCAATCCTCCCATCTGGTCCTCCCAAAGTGCTGGAATTATAGGTGTGAACCACTACACCTGGCTGCAGACCCAGGGTTTGAACTGATTCTAAAGTCGGTATTCTTTCAAACTGTAGTGCACTATAAAATTTCTGCCCTAAGTCAGGGTTACTGTGAGGTTCACCAAGGCCATGTATGCAAACATGCTCCGTAAATCATACAAGGTATTATTACTTGGTGTTAATCAGACCAAAGGGCTTCAGGCTGTAGCCCAAAATGCCTCTTGATGATCACGGCCAGGTAAAAAAGACTTCCTAACAGTTGCCAGTGTGGGGCTAGGAGGCTGGGATGCACCCCGACTCTTCTAGACTATTAGTAAGCAATAACAAGGAATTATGATCCTAAGAGCCTTGCCTTTGACCTTCCACAGGGAGTAGCTTAAAATACAGTCACACATTACTTAATGATGGGGATACATATTGTGTATTTTTGTTTTGTTTTTGTTTGTTTTTTTTCTTGAGACGGAGTCTCGCTCTGTTGCCCAGGCTGGAGTGCAGTGGCCGGATCTCAGCTCACTGCAAGCTCCGCCTCCCAGGTTTACGCCATTCTCCTGCCTCAACCTCCTGAGTAGCTGGGACTACAGGCGCCCACCACCACGCCTGGCTAGTTTTTTGTATTTTTTTTAGTAGAGACGGGGTTTCACCATGTTAGCCAGGATGGTCTCGATCTCCTGCCCTCATGATCCGCCTGTCTCGGCCTCCCAAAGTGCTGGGATTACAGGCTTGAGCCACCGCGCCCGGCCTGTTTTTGTTTTTTTTAAGACAGGGTCCTGGTCTGTTGCCCAGGCTGAAGTGCAGTGGCATGATCCCAGCTCACTACAACCTCCGCCTCCCGGGCTCAAGCAATCCTCCCACCTCAGCCCCTAAAGTAGCTGGGACTACAGGCACGCACCACCACACCTGGCTAATTTTTATGTATATTTTGTAGAGATGGAGGTTTGGCCACGTTGCCCAAGCTGGTCTCAAACTCCTGGACTCAAGCTATCCACCTGCCTTGGCTTCCCAAAGTGCTGGGATTATAGGTATGGACCACTGTGCCTGACCAGGGATAGGGATACATTCTGAGAAATGACTTGTTAGGCGATTTCATCATTGTGCAAACATTACAGTGGATGATCTTTACATAAACCTAGATGGTACTGCAGCCTACACGGCTAGGCTGTAAACATGTATCGTGTGTTACTGTACTGAATATTGTAGGCAACTGAAACGCAAATACCATAACACAAATACTGTAACGCAAATCACTAGGTGATAGGAATATTTCAAGTCCATTACAGTCTTACAGGATCTCAGTCTATGGAGTCATTGACCGAAACGTTAATATGAGGTGCGTGACTATAGTTCCTTTATTTCCACCTCCTCATAGGAACCACCTACTGAGATGTGAGTGAACAGGGCTGTGTTAAAGGACAAGCCTGACGGACTGCATGCTGCCCTGTCCTGGGCGGGGGTGCCAGAACCATGCTGTGCAGTCACCTGGGAGCAGGCCACACAGGAACTGTCAGCATTTAGGCTGTATTCTAAGGACTCTCTCCTGGAGCTTCCTTCCCCTCTGGCCCTCGAAGGAGTACATGCACCTGGTCCTTTAGGCATAGCACTAGGCAATCCACCCTGAGCCAAGCCCAGACCAGGAAGGCAGGGCAATAACCAAAGCTCACCTGACATTGGCTTTATCCACTCCCATCCCAAAACTAATGGTTGCAACAATTACAGGAACCTTCTCCTCCATCCAGTCGTTCTGCACCAGCGTTCTTTCAGAGGCCTTCAGCCCTATAAAGAAGGGAAAGATGGAGAGGGGAACCCACATTTCCCTTGGGTTTACCCGAGGTCTATTTTGGGTTTAACACTGTGTGCTAGGCACTTCACAAACCCTGAATATTTCACTTTCCAGCTGTCCGACCTTACCTCAGGCGCTTAACTTTACTGAGCCTCAGCTGACAGGCACAAAGACCCTAGCCTATGTGTGGCAAAGAGCATTTGGCAAAGGTTTGGGCCATGATTCAAGCTCAAGCCTGCTGGCCTCCAAAGCCTGTGCTCTTCCTACAACAGCATTATCTTGGCTTGTAAAAACTTATCATTTCCTGCTGGGTAGGCATATACAGCGGGAAGAACTCAGGAGTCACAATTCTCATTTTAGACCTCATTCATGTCTAGACTCGTTTCAGGGGATTTAAGTGAATCACTTTAGCTCTGCCTGAGTATCTGCAATAAGATGGTGGGTCACCTGATAATCAGGATCTGTAAAGAACAAGAGACCCACCAAGAAGCCTCTGAGGGTGAAGAGAACCAAGTGGCCTGGGCGCCCCTTACCTGCATGGTAAGCCTTGGCGTTCACACCCCTGCAGCTGAGCTCTATGGCCAGCTGTTCACAAGCCTCTCTAGTCCTGCAGTAGACAATGCCGCAGCCAGACAACTGAATGGGGAGATGCAGGAAGAAAATAAGCATGGCAAGAACAGAACAATAGGCCCAGTGTAGTGTACCCTGCTCTAAAAGCAGCTCTGTGTTCCTTCCCTCATCAGTTTCAGTCCCCTCTGAGGCAGGACACCCAGTAAGGCTCTGTTACTTTATAAAAAGCAGGACCAGGCTGGTTCATGCCTGCAATCCCAGCACTTTGGGACACCAAGGTGGGAGGATCACTTGAGGCTAGGAGTTAAGACCAGCCTGGGCAACACAGAGAAACCCCGTCTCTGCTAAAAATACAAAATTAGCTGGGCGTGGTGGCGCATGTCTGTAATCCCAGCTACCTGGGAGACTGAGGCAGGAGAATCGCTTGAATCTGGGAGGCGGAGGTTGCGGTGAGCCAAGATCGCGCCACTGCACTCCAGCCTGGGCAACAAGAGAGAAACTCCACCTCAAAAAAAAAAAAAAGGCAGGCCAAAAGCTGCTCAAAACTCAACCTGTTTAACTTCTCTGCCTCCTCTTCACGAACTTTGCATGGGTCTGCAGAGGCCTCACACAGAGGGGCTGGCTGCTTGCCTTCCACAGAAGGATCCAGGACAAGGAAACCCTGGTAAGGAGGACAATGCCAGGAAACCAAAGGGACAACTCTTTTTGTGCACGAGTTTTAAGAAGCCTGGCTGAGAAAGCTAGAAAAAGCAAAGGTCTTAGAAGACCAATCTCCATCTCCATGCTGCATGTCACACTCCACTGCTCTAACAGCTGCTTGGCCTCCACCTCAGTGCCTCACCCCTTTATCAGCCTCCTGTCCAAGAGCCTTAAGGCAGAAGTCCTTCAGGTTCCCATAGGGATCAGAAATCAGTTCCTTGAATTGCACATCATAGAAGAGGTTGGCCCGGAAGCAGGGAGTCTTGAAGATGGCAACTGGTTTCTTCAGGTGCAGGGCAGCAAACACGTCCTCTTGGACCTGTGGGGTGGCTGTGGCGGTCAGAGCCACACAAGGGGCATGTCCCAGGCGGGAGCGCAGGGCACCCAGACGCAAGTAGTCAGGACGAAAGTCATGCCCCCATTGGGAAACACAATGAGCCTCATCCACCACCAAATAAGACAACAGGTGGCGGGACAGCAGGGAGTTCAGGCTGGGCTGGAAGGAGGAGGAAGCCGCCATCTCCGGGGTGATGTACAGAATCTTGGTCTGGGGCTCTTCTCGCTCCAGGTCAGCAAGCAGGTCCTTCCTTTCCTGTGCAGAGAGCTTCGAGTTCAGGGAACTTACTCGTACCTTTAGGGCTAGCAAGTGGTCCACTTGGTCCTAAGAAAAGAGAAAGGGGCTATAATTGGCCCTCAGGACTCAGGTAAACGTCACTGCAAGTCCCTGGAGGATTTCCCAGTCATAAACTGTCCTCCTCCCACCCTCCACTATGTCTTTTCTTTGCATAGAAGTAGTATAGGTTGAATATCCTTTATCAAATGCTTGGGATCAAAAGTGTTCTAGATTTCAGATATTCCTAGATTTGGGAATATTTGCAGATTGCATATACATAATGAGATCTCTTGAGGATGAGACCCAAGTCTGAACAGGAAATTCATTTTTTTCATGTATACCTTATACATATAGCCTAGGTGTAATTTTATATAATATTTTTAATAATTTTGTGCATGCAAAAAGAGTTTTGACTGAATTTTGACCACAGTCCATCACATGAGGTCAGAAAGGCGTGGAACTTTCCACTTGTGGCGTCATGTCAGCACTAAAATTCTTTGGATTTTGGAGCATTTCAGATTTCGGATTTTTGCATTAGGGATGCTCAACCATTATGGAAGGTAAAGTGGTTTAGAGGACAGGCTCTGAAGTCAGACAGACTTCAGATTTAGATTCATCCTGGCTCACTTAATCACCACATGCTCGCTGGCTGTTTCTTACCCTCTGAACAAGTTATACAAGTCTATCTAACGAATTGTTGTATAACTTAAAATTTACATCTCAGAGGTGAAATTAATGTATGTAAAGCACTTAGCACAAAGGCTGGGACCTGGTGAACACTCACCAAGTTATTGCTGTTGTTCCCTGTCTCTCTACCTTTCTTCATGGTGGATGACTCTTACCCACACAGCCACACTTCCTCAATTCTGATTCTATCAGCCCATCTGCAGGCCTTAAATAGTCAGAACACCTGTAGAGCAGATGTTAATAAGGTCCCAGCCAGTTTCTCATCTTTTTTTCTGTTTCACATACTGTGCCCTTACCAAAATAAGCAGGACACCAGGGATTCCCCATATCAACTTAGCTATCTATCCATCTGCAACTTCTATCCCAACATCACGAGTGCACATGTGTATATACGTGAAACTGAGTATATATGTGTGTACAAATACAGTTTCATACTCCTCTGGACAAAAAAATAACGAGGGAGGGTGAAGGACCTCAGAGGAGTCATTCATAAACCCCCAGAGTGATATGCACCAGTGGAGAACACTAACTTGGGGAAAAACAGAAACCCAATACAGCAAATGAGATAGGCAAATCATAGAAAAAAAGAGGCAGGGGCGGGTGCGGTGGCTCACGCCTATAATCCCAGCACTCTGAGAGACCGAGGCAGGCAGATCGCTTGAGGTCAGGAGTTTGAGACCAGCTGGCCAACATGGTGAAACCTCATCTCTACTAAAAATACAAAAATCAGCCAGACATGGTGGCATACACCTGTAATCCCACCTATTTGGGGGACTTAGGCACAAGAATTCCTTGAAGCCGGAAGGCGGAGGCTGCAGTGAGCCGAGATTGCACCACCACACTTCAGCCTAGGCGACACAGTAAGACTCTGTCTCAAAAAAAGAAAAGAAAAGAAGAGGCAAAAGACCAATAGAGAATTGAAATTTCCAGCCTCAAAAAACCTTCCCCGAGTCTTTTTGGGCTACCATCTTCGTTGCCCTAAGCCTCACCTGAATCAAAGCAATGAGAGGAGAGACTACAATGGTGATGCCTTTGGCCAACAGAGCAGGGAGCTGATAGCACAGGGATTTTCCTGCCCCTGTGGGCATGCACACAAAGACATCCTTGTTACCTGCAAAAATACAAGACAACAATATCTCAGTGCTTCCTGCCTTTTCATTGAAGTTGTTGAAAATTAAATGAGAATGTAGGAAAAGTACCTAGCAGAGTGTCTGGCACATGGAAGGGTCTCAATGTAATGCTAATACCCCTCCTGTCCTTTCTATGAAAAAGGCAAGGATCCAGGAAATTTGGATACACGCCCAAACCATTTCTAGTAATGGTTAAAAACAAGATTTAAAAAGTCTGGGGCGGGCACGGTGGCTCACGCCTGTAATCCCAGCACTTTGGGAGGCCAAGGCAGGCAGATCACGAGGTCAAGAGTTTGAGACCAGCTTGGCCAACATGGTAAAACCCTGTCTCTACTAAGAATGCAAAAATTAGCCGGGCATGGTGGCATGTGCCTGTAATCACAGCTACTCGGGAGGCTGGGGCAGGAGAATTGCTTGAACCTGGGAGGCAGAGGTTGCAGTGAGCCGAGATCGCGCCACTGCACTCCAGCATGGGCGACAGAGCAAGACTCTGTCTCAGAAAAAAAAAAAAAAAGGAGTCTGAGTCTGCTGTGATATGGATGATTTAACTAAACAGCCATGAAAGCAGAGTACTGCTAGGTGACTGGGCACATCTGTGTAGACATGGCAGGACATTACTTAGAGAGCTTTTGTTTAGACATGTATCATTAATATTACATTGCTGCTCGCCTCTTGGCAACTTCCATTTGTCACCATATCTCAGATTTATAACTTTTTTTTTTTTTTTTTTTTTTGAGACGGAGTCTCGCTCTGTCGCCCAGGCTGGAGTGCAGTGGCCTGATCTCAGCTCACTGCAAGCTCCGCCTCCCGGGTTCACGCCATTCTCCTGCCTCAGCCTCCCGAGTAGCTGGGACTACAGGCGCCCGCCACCTCGCCCGGCTAGTTTTTTTTTGTAGTTTTAGTAGAGACGGGGTTTCACTGTGTTCACCAGGATGGTCTCGATCTCCTGACCTCGTGATCCACCCATCTCGGCCTCCCAAAGTGCTGGGATTACAGGCTTGAGCCACCGCGCCCGGCCAGATTTATAACATTATTACTCTTTCCTTCTCTATCTGGGACCCAGGCCACTCAATCTTCAACAAGGGAATTACCTAGAAGGCCAGTGACCAAGTTAAGTTACTACTGCCACCCTCACTGTTGCTGTTTGTTTGTGTGTACAAACGAACAATAATGGGAATCTGAAGTGTTTTCAAATACCATGTGTAGATCTGGCTAGGAACTATAGACCAGCCAGGTGGTTCTGCCATTAAAACTACAAGCTTTGGGCCAGGCGTGGTGGCTTATGCTTGTAATCCCAGTACCTTGGGAGGCTGACGTGGGAGGATTGCCTGAGCCCAGGATTTGGAGACCAGCCTAAGCAACATGCCAAGACCCTGTGTCTCTAATTAAAACAAATAAATGCAACTACAAGCTTTGGGTGACAACTTTAAAGATTTCCAAATCCAGTTATGGACCAAAGGTGAGGCAGTGCGAAGGATCAGGAGGAGGGTGTTCTGCCGCAGCATTATGGTATAGCCAGCATAAATTTAAAGGAAGGTACCTTGGTAATGTTACCTTTTACTACTGCCATGGTCGCATTCTCCTGTAAAGGCGTCTTAAAAGAGTCAAACCCAAAGACCTTCTTCAGCGTACTCCGGACTCGCCGCTCAGGGTCAAGAGGAAAGGTGGTATGGTGGCTGCTCATCTTAGCCAAGAACAGTGGCCAAAGGTTAAGGCAAAGGTGGTAAAAGGTTGCCACGAGAACCCTATGTTTTGCTTTAAAAATACAGCTTATTTTTCTGTAACAATTTGCTATGTTACACTTAAATAATATATTAAAGTATTAAAGCTGAAAGTGAACTGCCTCAAGCAATACATTCCTGGGTAATTAATATCTCCACTTTTACGCTCAATGAAAATAAATACATTGAACTATTCCAGGCCATGGTATAGCACAGAGCTAGAAATCAGATCAAGAAAAGAAACACAAATGTCTTCAGAACAGTTTGGAGAACGAGGAACCGTTTTCCGAAGATCCACCACCTGCTCCTTCTTCTATAAGCGCAACCACGACAACCATTCTTCCACCCCGGGACCCCGACCCCCTTCTCCCTTCTTCCTGAGCCCAAGATCCGCAATTTTCTCTCTTGGCCGGCCGACACCTCCCTCTCTTCACCCTAAGATATCAGAACCGGCCGTGGTCGGCCCAGGAATTAAAGGCCCTTACTGGGCCGCTGCAGCTGGCTGGTTCCGGAACTACTCGAAGACCCCTGTACACAAACCCAACTCAGAGAAGCCAAAGCGCTGGGAATTAAGCTTTAGCCAGAACCCACACAATCTTATATCCGTCGCGCAGTGATGACGTGCACGAGCGCTGGCATGAGGGCGGAGCCAGGCGCAGAAAACTGCCGTTTTGATTGGTTTCCAGTGTGGCGCGGGGTCTCCTGGGATCCGAGAGAACCTGCCTTTCCGCCCGGAAGTCGGCGTCTTTGAGTCATAGAAGTGAGCCACGCCGGGGCTGTGGGAATAAGATGGCGGGGAAGAAGAATGTTCTGTCGTCTCTTGCAGTTTACGCGGAAGATTCAGAGCCCGAGTCTGATGGCGAGACTGGAATCGAGGCGATGGGCAGCGCGGCTGGTAAGGCCCAAGTGGGAAGCTGGGAGAGGGAATCGGGTGTCTGCCCGGAATGCTGTACCCCTCGCTGGGCGGGAGGGAACTAGATGGTCATTGTGCCCCAGGCACCGGACCCCGAAGAATGGCCCGGGGTTCTGGATGAGATAGAGCATTAGAGACTCTGGACTAAGAATGAAGAATCTCCTTTCCGTTGTTTCGATTAATCTGCCTAAACTTACTGAAAGCCTCCGTGCGGGTTATAGTGATGGACAGAGGGATGGACGAAGAGGGAGTGGCTGCTGAGCCACTGCCTGTTCCCCCTGGGCTCGTTGTTTGATGAGGGAGAGCGATGAGTAAAACATACGTGGAAGATGGTAAAATTGTGTTTATTAAATTTATAGCTTTTAGTTAAGAATGTGCCCTAAACACATCTTGGAGCTTTTAAAAATAAAAACGTATCTGATCCCCAAAGCGAGAGAATCAGTTCTAATTTGGTAGAACTGGGGTAGGATGTGGACATTTGTGAACTTTTTAAGGATCCCGGGTGATTTTTCTTATTTTGTGAGTTTTTAAAGCCTATCGGTGATGTTCTCCTCCTCAGGTTGAGAAGCACAATGTTAGACAATGGAAATAGATTTCTTTGGGAGAATAGAGAACAAGTTACCTAACAACATATCTGGACCTTAGCTTCCTCATCTGGAAAGTGAAGGGGATTGGATTAGATTAGGTACTTTCATGTTTTGTGATTTTGTGGGGTCTCTTCCAGTCAGAAAGTTCTCTGATAGTTTCCTGTAAACACTATAGTGTTTGCTTAGTGTTTATAGCATTAGAAACAGAATTTAGTACTTGGTTTTGTTCCCTGACCTTTTAAAGGTTTTATTCACTAAATAATGCCCTTCTCAGAGAGCCGAATCTGGGCCTATTGTCACTTAACATGAGATTTAGGTTCCCCTTGTATCTTCAGAGATAGTCTTGGCCACTCAAATCTCTAGACATTTTTTCTTACCTTGTAACTCTTGATTTTTTTTTTCTTGCTTTTTTTTTGTTTGTTTTTTAACCTTTCAGAGGAGAAAGGCGGATTGGTATCTGATGCCTATGGGGAGGATGACTTTTCTCGTCTAGGGGGTGACGAAGATGGTTATGAAGAAGAAGAGGATGAGAACAGTAGACAGTCGGTAGGTAAATCTCCCAGATCCAGAGCTACTGAAAGCACAATTTCATTTGTCAGATTTTGGAACTGTGCCAACAGTGTTCCATTTCATGGCTAGCTTCATCCCTTGCTCTCCACTTTTGTTTTAGTGGAAGAAACTGGGTTGGATAGCAGTTCTGTTTGAAAATTTATTTTCACGTGGATCTTTTTTTATTAATCTTTGAGTTGAAATTTGGGGGGAAAGATAGTGGATTATTTTATTTAACCCAGATATCAACGGGTGTTTTATGTTGATTTTTCCCAGTTTAAATTATTTACTCCATTTATAGCAGGCATTCATCCTAATTGGTGTATCGTTTATATCTACAGTCAACTCTGCATTGTTTTTAATCTTGGTTGGGGCTCATTTAAATTTTGTCAGTTTATTAGCAAGATAAGAAAGGGAAATTTGTTTTCACCTGCTTTTTCTTCTTTTTTTTTTTTTTTTTTGAGGTAGGGTCTCACTCTGCTGCCCAGATTGGAGTGTAGTGGTGTGATCATAGATAGTTCAATCCTGCCTTGAACTCCTGGGCTCAAGTGATCCTCCCACCTCAGCCTCCCCAGTAGCTGGGACTACAGGTGGGCACCACCATGCCTAGCTAACTTATTATTAATAGTATTATTTTGTCGGAATCTTGCTCTGTCGGCCATGCCAGGATGCAGTGGTGCAATCTCGGCTCACTGCACCCTCCTCCTCCCAGGTTCAAGCGATTCTCCTGCCTCAGCCTCCTGAGTAGCTGGGATTACAGGCACCTGCCACCACGCCTGGCTAATTTTTGTATTTTTCGTAGAGATAAGGTTTCACCATGTTGGCCAGTCTGGTCTCTAACTCCTGACCTCAGGTGATCCACCCACCTCATCCTTCCAAAGTGCTGGGATTACAGGTGTGAGCCACTGTGCCTGGCCTTCTTCTTTCTTGACATTTTACTTGGCACTTTTTATTATGATACCCTTAGATCTTGATCACAAATCTTGCCTGATACTCAGTAGGTGCTGGAGAAAGGAGAATCTGTGCTATTATTAACAAGAAAGGTTTTAGACACATAATCACCTGAGCAGCATGAGTCAGAATTTATGTTTGCAGAAAACGCAAAGAAATTGAGGCTGGTTCTTAGCACGAGACACGCAAAGTTGAGTCTCGATGTCGAATCTGACTACTTAGCAACAGTTTTAATCGAAACACTTAAAATATATATATATATATTTTTTTTTTGAGACGGAGTCTCGCTCTGTCGCCCAGGCTGGAGTGCAGTGGCCGGATCTCAGCTCACTGCAAGCTCCGCCTCCCGGGTTCGGGCCATTCTCCTGTCTCAGCCTCCTGAGTAGCTGGGACTACAGGCGCCCGCCACCTCGCCCGGCTAGTTTTTTGTATTTTTTAGTAGAGACGGGGTTTCACCGTGTTAGCCAGGATGGTCTCGATCTCCTGACCTAGTGATCCACCCGTCTCGGCCTCCCAAAGTGCTGGGATTATAGGCTTGAGCCACCGCGCCCGGCCTAAAATATATTATTTGTTTGAATTTTTTGTTACATGTTGGTATGTAAATGTTAGCATTAAAATTCATTCCAGCCAAGCAGGGTGGCTCACACCTGTAATCCCAGCACTTGGGGAGGCTGAGGTGGGCAGATCATGAGGTCAGGAGATCAAGACCATCCTGGCCAACATGGTGAAACCCTGTCTCTACTAAGAATACAAAAATTAGCTGGGCACGGTGGCGCGCACCTGTAGTCCCAGCTACTCGGGAGGCTGAGGCAGGAGAATAGCTTGAACCCGGGAGGCGGAGGTTGCAGTCAGCCGAGATCACACCATTGCACTCCAGCCTGGGTGACAGAGCCAGAATCCATCTCAAAAAAAAAATTATTTCCACAACAAACAGAAATGCGTTTTGTACATTATGCATTTTGGGAGATATTTTCATGCCTTTAGCCCCATCCATTAATACTGATAATTCAGAGTTGACTGAAATTATTCAGAAAAGTTTTGCAAGTTGTTTTCTGACTTTTCTGAAGTACACACATTCTGGCTTAATATTCATAACTCTTTAGTACATTTGCATAATGTGTTTTTGAAGTGTTTCATATTTGCTTTGCTTAGAATTTTCATCATGTTTAAGCTTCGTTTCATATTTTAGTAAAATCCTCTCATCAGCTCTTATTGTAGAGATTCTGAAATGTGATTGTATTTGAGCTCCATCTCTGTTTATTTGGCATGACTGATTTCATTTTAAGGAGATTATGGAGATTGCATTTAAAGCCTTGGACTCACTGGCACCTTACAGGACAGTTAAGTCTCCAAATCATCAGTCTAGTTTGTTCAAATCTCGAATGGTATTTATATTAATATATGGAGTGCTCTGTAACGTTTGGGCTGAAGTGTAGCTTTGTTGAAAATAGCAGTTTCAAATGAAACCATTTTTTCCTGGGTATTTAGTTAAAGGTTTCTGTGCATTGGGAGTGTTCTGGGTAGTGAAGGTGACATGGATTTAGCCAGCTAATAAGGTAGCTGGTCCAGCATCTGCTCCTGACCTTTGATCTTCATAGCATCAGCGTTAGTGTTCAGTGGAATGGCGGGCTCACTTTGGAGAATGTCTTACCGTGTGTGATCCTTTGTGTCAGGCTGACCTCATTTGAATAAGGAACAGGACTGGGTAGAATGGGTCTTTGGCAGTTCTGGGAGCACTTGGGTGGAGGCAGAGCCCACTCAACTGGGACTCCTGAAAGGTTGGGCATTGCCCTTTAGTCCTGCCTTTCCCAGGTCACTTGCTCTGGTCATTTGAGGCCTACCTTCCTGTGTTGATATTAGTGCAAATGCTGGTTGTGCTGTGATATAGCTGTGTGTAAGCCTTGGCACTTGGTGTTGAACAGTGTTACAGTAGGTCTGAGTCTGATGTACATATGTATAAGAAAAAGAAAGGGCCGGGCGCGGTGGCTCAAGCCTGTAATCCCAGCACTTTGGGAGGCCGAGATGGGCGGATCGCAAGGTCAGGAGATCGAGACCATCCTGGCTAACCTGGTGAAACCCCGTCTCTACTAAAAAAAAAAATACAAAACACTAGCCGGGCGAGGTGGCGGGCGCCTGTAGTCCCAGCTACTTGGGAGGCTGAGGCAGGAGAATGGCGTGAACCCGGGAGGCGGAGCTTGCAGTGAGCTGAGATCCGGCCACTGCACTCCAGCCTGGGCAACAGAGCAAGACTCCGTCTCAAAAAAAAAAAAAAAAAAAAAAAAAAAAAAGAAAGAAGGCTCATAATCCTGGTTTGAAATAACTGATATTTCAGTGGAAACACGATGCCTGTTTTATTGTGTGGCCTGATCTTACTCTCTCCTGAAACATACTGCAATCTTTCTCCATTTTTATGTATGTGATTTTTAACTCGGGCATCTTCATTGATGTGGACTGTCTCACCACTAGAGTAACTTGACTTCTGAGCTGCTGATGCTTTTTTGTTCCCCTCCCCCCCGCCCCAGAATATCTCTTTTTCCCCTTATTTTTCTCTGGTTCTGAGTTATATGGTAGGGGAGGGATTCTTGGTGGGATGACCCCAGCTGGGTAAATGGGCTGTTT